AACAAGCAGATAAAGCCCCTTTAGTCCCTTACGCAGCGGTAGCTTCGCCAGTTTGGCGGATTTAGGTGGCCGCTTGCTCGTTTGCCACACCTAATGATAAAAAAAAATCTATTTTTTTTATTACATAAGGGATGACTAGGCCTCAGGCGGTTTGTTGCATGATAACCTTACCCCGTCTCATTCTGAGAGGATGCTCTCAACTTCAGCAAGTGGAGCAATCGTGGCTTGATGATACTGTTATTCAAATCAAATATGTTAATCAATCGATTTTCATATAGTTTGTCAAAATAATTTAGATTAGTTTGACAATTCATTTCATATTTAGTAGGGATGGGTTGTGTAAAATCAGTCGTGAATTTTATCGATTTTCGATTTTTATTCTTATAGAAGTTAGAATCTATAGATTTATAGTTATAATTTATGAAATAAAAAAACTCTATTTTCTCAAATTAATAATGACCATAACAAATAATGAGAGTAAATAAATGTTTATTACTACTACAGCCGTACGTAATAGAATTGGATTTCTGTCATCGCCTAAATTCTCTACTCTATAATCAATACTAGAATTGTCCTATAAATTAGTGAATAAGAAAATAATAAGTTTACTTCAGTTCGATAATTATTTAAACCGAATATCGATAGTGCAAAATTGTTCGCTGCGTGTGTTTCGTCACCAAAGTACCTGTCTATTAAGAACGGCATTTGCCTTTATACAATTGAATTCGATACTTCATATGCGTCGTTTATCAAACTAATCTATCTTATTTAGACACACTATAAATATATGTTATTGTAAAATTTTTATTGAATAAATATGCAAAATTACATTTTGTAAGCATAATTGTAAAGTTTTTGTTTTATTTCAGATAAAGGTATTCTTCCTACTGAATGCAAGGATACAGCCGATTTAATCATGTTCATGGACAACATTTTTGATTCCCTAAATGGTAGTCATCTTAAAAAAAACATTTTTTTTAAATAAGGTGGCAAACGAGCAAGCGGCCACCCGAATCCACCGAAATGGAAAGCGACCGCTGCCCATAAATATCCGAAATTCCAGATGCGTTGCCTATCCTTAATTGACGGAGAAGGAGACGCACATAAAGAGGATATTTCCCCGTCCTATGCGTTTTCTCCATCGTCAAATACACTCAAATCCATGCGAAGCCCTTACTTGGGCCGGCGACGCCAAACTCTGTCCATCATAGAGTTTGGAGGGAAGGTATAGAATTGTTCAAATCTATGACGTTTATAAATTCTGGTGGCAAGAAAGAAAATATTCCCACCGTAGTACAATTGAATGTGGTCTCTGAATGGCATTCAAATATTGTTAAAAAAAAATGTCGATTTTGGCATATCGTCAGCGTGGTTGCGGCACCTCAATCAGGACCCTCTGGAATTTTGTTTGGAGCGTTGAGAAGCCATGGGTGTCGTAACGTTAACCCGACTTGTGACCAGTTCGAGTCGGCTTTTACCACTTTATTCATTAGTAATTTAAGCAATGTCCACACCCGAGGTAACTGTGAACGAGACAATTGTATAATGCTACACACCCTAATTATCAATGAAAATGCAGAGCCAACATCGACCCGCACATATCATCATCATCATCATCATAACCAGCTCACCATACGTCCCCACCGAGGGGCTCGGAGCCTACCCTAAATTAGGGTAATTAGGCCTTAGTCAACCACGCTGGCCCACTGCGGGTTGGTTGACTTCATACATCTTCGAATTTCTTCGCCGATATGTGTAGGTTTCATCACGATGTTTTCTTCACCGTAAGAACGTCGGGTAAATTATGTACATTATATATTGTAAATATTGTACATTTTTTAAAAATCATCAATTTTAAATTCACACCAATGTCTGTAAAAGTACGCGACCCCCGAATAATTGCACCCTTGCAATATATGATTGGTTACTTAAAAAAAAAAGCCAAAACTAAAATATTTAAATCGTGCTCTTGTTGCAAAAGTAACTTATTTTCTGGAGATCAACAAGAGAAATTATATAAATTTTATAAGTGTATTTTGTGGCAATAAATATTTATTTATTTATTAATTAATTCATTCATTCAAATACAGAGAATATGCAGGTCTTACAATGTATGGACTTACAATGTTAATTAAGAGATAATTAATGTGTTTTTATGTAAATCACAAGTTATTACACTAAAATCGACTAATAATGTAATCGCTGTTTTCATGATTTCCTTGATCCCCTGTACAACTGATGTCACTGATGTTTATGTATGATATATGAAATATGACATTGTACATAATGTGATTGTTGATGCTTATAATATACTTGTTAAGTATGTGAAGACAGTGTTTCAATAGCCCTACACCTCCAGAGCCGGGACAACAGTAACCGTCCAACAGTATCCTTTGTTGTTACTTCCTAATTCATTCCAAAATAAATTCTGAACTGAACGTATGTAGACTGTTAAAATTTTGCCTACAGGTGAATGATATTCAGTTACTGAACAGTTACGTTGAAAGTCGGAGCTGAACTATACCGGGCTTAGGATTTCATACATAAGATATCGATTTTGTTATATCGAATATAGTGTGTCTAAATAAGATAGATTAGTTTGATAAATGACGCATATGAAGTATCGAATTCAATTTTTATGAAGGTAAATGTCATACTTAATAGGTAACGTAGTGACAAATAAACACGCATAGCTAACAATTTTCTATCTATCGATATTCAGTTTAAATATTTATCGAACTCAACTAAAATTATTATTTTCTTATTAACTAATTTATAGGACAATTCTAGTATTGATTATAGTGTAGAGAGTTTGGCGATGACAGAAATAATAGCGAAATCCAATTCGATTACGTACATCTGTAGTAGTAATCAACATTTATTTACTCTCATTATTTGTTATGGTCATTATTAATTTAAGAAACAGTTTTTTTTCAATTCATAAGTTATAACTATAAATCTATCGATTCCAACTTCTATAATAATAAAAATCGAATATCGATAAGATTCATGACTGATTTTACACAACCCATCCCTATTAAATTTGAAAGGAAATGTCAAACTAATCTCAATTATTTAGACACACTATAAATGCTCGAAAGAATTATGAAACAAATAAACAGATTACAAAACTCCTTTCGATAAACGTCATAAATAAAGAAAGAATAATCGGCAAAAATAAATTGACAAAACGATGTTATATTAGAAAACAATTTTCTCGGACAGCGTAAGGCTTTTTACAAACGGGATTATAAATTGGTGTTTGTTGAAGCTTTACAATATGCTGTCCGTGCGTCAAGCGGCCGGGCTCAGCCGGCGGGTGCAGTTGTGGAGACTGAGGAAGTTGGTAGCGCAGATGGGGTCGGCAGTCAGCGATAACCTTTACCTGCCCACATCGAACCCTGATACGGCAAGAAACGGTAATTGTACAATCAAAATACATTAACTGTTGCTCGTGACTTCGTCCGCGTAAAAATGTAGCCTATGTTATTTACTGATAACGTAGCATTATAACGGTGAAATAATTTTTGAAATCTGCCTAGAAGTTTTTGAGTTATTTCAAAACATACAAAAATATAAATCTTTCCTCAATAGTATAGACTCGCTGCTTTAGTATAAATTATGTGTTCTTCCAGTTTATATTCCAAAAATTGTGCCAAAAATCTTACCGTATTCCTTGGCGGAAATGAGCGTAATTATATTTTACTTGCTGTTGCTCGTGACTTCGTCCGAGTGATATTAAAATGTAATAAAAATATAGCCTATGTTGTTCACTGATAACGTAGCTTTTTAATGGTGAAAGATTTTTTGAAATCGGCTCTGTAATTTTTGAGTTATTTCAAAACAAAAAAATACAGATTTTTCATCTTTATAATATTAGTATAGGTTATTACTAAAGGTGTATTGTCTTAGTTGCTGCAAAAAAACCACCAACGGACTGGCAGGAGCAAATCTACACAGCAGCTCAGATCATCATCTCGCCGGAGTGGCGCAGTCTCCAACTTGTCTAATTTCTTTTGTATAGTATTATGTTAACAAATTAAATTGTGTCACATTGTTAATCTTTATTTTTGTCGTCCACTTACATTTCACTAGTTGTTTCAATCTTTTCCCCGAGACCTCATATGCGTGGAATAATCAAAACTAGTATGTAGTCTGTGTTCTACCACTGTTTTATGTTTGTGTGAAAATTTCTCCGATATCCGTTTACACGTTTAGACAACTAATCAACTTCCAGGTGCCGGAGGCCTAATTTTAGTCCCTTTCCCTTTCCACCCTTTTCTTGAGAGGATAGATGGGAAGGAAAAGTGGATTTGGCGGTAGAGGAGACGCATAGGAAGGGGAAATGTTCTCTTTATGTGCGTCTCCTCCGTCAATTAAGGGTAGGCAACGCATCTGCAATTGCGGATGTTTATGGGCAGCAGTCGCTTTCCATTTCGGTGGATTCAGGTGGCCGCTTGCTCGTTTGCCACCTTATGTTATAAAAAAAAGATCTATAAGTCGTAAGGTAAGTAAAAGTAATTGAAACACCACGTTATTTCACTAATGTTTCGTATTGGAAAGACTGTGTAACAATTCTTCAAAACTTCTAAACTCCAAGGTTTCAAATACTGAAATTATAATTTTTATTAAGCATGGAATTATAATTTACAAATACGGCGTATCACGTAACATTCTCATTTACTCGTGTTTTATTTGCAGGGACCAACCCTCAACAACATATTCCCGCCCGTACGACTCTTCACATTTTAATGAACTCTCCGTTTCATGTCGTTTTCGTTTCATATGCGGATTAATTTGATGTGGTATTTTGCGATGTTTTAATAAGCAACGACTGCGTAGTTTGTGTTAAAGAAGTCAAAAACAGAAGAATAATGAACTATTTCTTAGCAATAAAATCAATTATTGCTAAGAAAAAGTTATTGTTGCTAGGTGTTTTAAATAAAAGACTTTTTATAAGTTTATTTAAATATAATATTAATACGTAGACAGTAATTTGGTGTATTAGTAAAGATAAATACTTTTAAAATCCTTTAGAATATATTACTACAACATAGGAGATCAATTTAATATTAAAACATGGTAGTTAAGCAACCAGCTAAGTTAGATGATTATAATCGATTATAATTTAAGTATGCTTAAGTGATACAGAAAACCGATTTGACAATTTAGAACGACACACGATAGGAGCAAAGTTTGAAGTAGCACAAAACAGGAGCGCCTGCAAACAAAATAAACAATATGACATTGAATACAATAAGTATAGGTAAATTAACCAATAACTAAGGGTCCGTTCAGACAGACTGTGGGGTAGATCACAGCAGATTTTGATCGCTAAAACATGAGCTTTATTCGATTGAGTCAAGGTTTAATTTTACTTTACAATTCTTGTAAAAGCAAGCATAATAGACATCTAGTGTGGCAGCTTTTTTAAAAAAAATTCATCACAAATTGTAAAGATTTTCTCGAAAAAAATAAACACTGTAACACACATATGACAAAAGATTGTAAACTTACGTGTCGCTTTCACCTTTGTTGGCTTCGATTGGGTTTGTGCCTGAGCGTTGGCCTTCTTCGCGTCTTCGGGCTGCGCGGCTTTAGTCACCCGTTTTACCACCTTGATGTCCGTATTCATTGGAGGTTGGTCCACGTAATCGGTATCAAGGTTCGGTCTAAAACAATCACATTATCGTAGAGAATATTATTAGTATGAATTCGTCAGTGATAAACGGTTACCTGTAAGGTCCGGCGATGCCTTTGCTGAGTTTTAGACTCTGCATTATTTTGTAGAGCAACATAGCGCGACCCATGTCGTCTACAACGTCCTTGCCATCGTCTGCGGAAGCCAGCGAACGCGGACCTCCCTCCACATTGTAATTCTAAAGAAATATTGCTTTACACTTTTTGTCCACGTTTAGTTAGTCGCTAAATAATCACTAAGGGAGTTCCTTAATTTGTAATCTTACTAATATTATAAATGTGTAAGGTTAGATGGATGGATGTTAGAGTTTGTAGCCTAAACTCCTGAACATACCTCGAAGAAATTTGGCTTAGTCTAAAAAAACATATAGGCTACTTTTTTTAAATTCCGCGCACACAGAGTCGCAGGTGAATGTAAGTACCTGATAGATGTCTTCATTGAGAGACCTTCCGGGCTCGTCGTACCAGTCGAGGGCAGCACCTGAAGTGACCAGCAGTGCCCATACAGCTGACCACAACAGCATGTTCTTGTTCCTTAGAGTTGAAACACAAATTCAATACGTCATGAGACATTTGGTAATCAGCTTTCACAGGTCCAAACCTACACTAATGTTATTAGTTGTTTTGGATTTGCGGCTGGTTTCTAACAGGCGCTTTAACTTTTCAATACGTAGCAAAAGTTTTTTTTAAAACTTGTGTTTATGCATGTATTTCATCAGGGGAGATCCTCATTCAATAGATATCAAATACAATAAGTAAATCCCTTTTTTCTTATTTGGAGCAAACAATACATCGTATATTTCCCCCTTAGCGATGTCTGGTATCGATTTTCTTATGAATAGAACCTCTCTCGTCTGCCCTTTTCTCGCAATAAATGTACCTTGTTAATAATTAATATGTACATTTCATATTGCGCCAAAAAGGTGATTATTTTACTTCTTCTTATTAACTCAGTAATTTACAATAAATTGTTTTGTTCCTGTAGCTTTATGAATGATGTTTATTGTTTTGTCTTGTAAAGTTTGATTTATTACGAAAAATTACTTTACTTTTCAACATTAAATATCGTAAATTTTCATAGTAATATATTAACACTTGTTAACCAAACAATATAAATAATAAATAATGCAATGAACACTATTTAATAAGCCTGTACTCAATAAATGAATCAATAAATCCACCCTCCCAGCATATCCGCAATTTATTTATAGCGCCTGCCGCGAACGTATAGCAATATGCCTCTGCCGTCAATTAGCAGTTGCCAGGTACTTTCAGATTAATTGAGGTCAGACAGGGGGATGTCTGCAGGGAGGTGAGTGCAAAAATATACTCGGATATACTTACATTTACAACTAGAACATAGAAAGCTTTAGTTTTCATGTTAATATAAATTGATACAATATATATTAGTAACGAACGGAATCAACGGAAACAAGGATCTTGAAAATCAGGATAGATTATAAATATAGTAAGTAAAGGAAAATTCCTGAAATAAAATTAGTAATTGAATTTGCTTTATTTTTATTCTTTTGAAGGTATCTTGGTTTTATTACATTTAGTAAACATTGTAGATGTTTCAATGAAGCGTTTGTTACAATGTTGTATTAACTTTGACGAATATACTCGAAGATTTTTTATTACTGGCTATTCAGAATCAAGGTATTGTTAAGTTTTATGAAAGGAAATTTTAATTAAAAACTGCTATAATAATCTTTAGTTTACATACTCTACACAGTCAAGAGAAGTCAGTAAAATATGAATATTGATTGTCCACTTAAAAATTCCTTTAAATTGGGGTAAAAATAGACGCCTAGCATTTTTTAACTAACCTTATAGATCCCATGTCTTCAAAGCACGTTAGTACAGTCTTTTGCAGGCCACACAGAGGTTGTTTAAGGGTTGCTCCCGGCGCACGACTGACGCCCTTCCCGCCCTACCTCTATTTATATCCTTACCTGTAAGTGGGCGGATTTCATTTTTTTCTGTTTTCTTTTTGTTATTTAAGAAATGTTTTTTAACAAGACGAGTAGAAACATCATTATTTGGGACTTCGAGTTCTGTGGCATTTATTTGTAAGAGTCTTATGCTGATACGTAAATTTATTCATTCACGATATCATATTACAAAACTCTAAAATTATAAGTATTAGGGCCTGTCTCACCATTGGTTGATAGAGCTTGGCTCGGACTCGGATAGCTTAAAATTGACGTCACTGTCAGATAAGAAAACAAAATTCGATTTCTATCACACTTTTCACACGTTGGATTATTATCAGACAATTTACAAATTGGTGGGACAGTGCCTTACTCTACTATTTTAAAGATGTATTATACATACAAACCTTCCTCCTGAATCGCTACATCTATTAAAACTGCATTAATATCCGTTGCGTAGCTTCAAAGATCAAGCATATATAAGGACAGAGAGCGGGAAGCGATTTTTTCGATTATGTAAAGAAGTAAATATAATATGTTCGTCTGTAAGGATCTTGATTAGGATTTTCTAAGCGTGGACTTCCACAATTGTTTCTCCCTATACAAGTACATACTCTTCTTGATGAAACTGACAAAATAACAGTATAATTATATAAAGTTGTTTTGTTTGTAAATCCCATGGTTATTTTAAATTACCATAAATGTAAACGAAGGTTATAACTAAGTGAAACTGATGTAACTATATGAATTTAAAACAATTTATCTTGTATGCCGCTTATCTGATAAGCCTCTTATATGAACTTTGGATATCGTTAGTTGAGGCTAAAATAAAACAATACGTAAAACTAACCTTTTGTATTACAATAAGAGAACCTTAAGCCCATTTTAAGATGTCTAACTGACTACATAATTAAAAGTATTTGTGTTCTTACAAATTAAGTTATTTCAACTTTATTACGAACGTTGTTAAACAGTAAAACCTTGTTAGCGCAAATTTGGACCAGTTAAGCCATTTTGACAGGGCGGAATTTTAAATAGTGTATAATATGCCTATCCATGTCAGCTACTCTCCAGTGAAAGTCCCGTCGAAATTGGCCCGAAAAACTCCGTAACGAAGAATACCCAAGAATAACGCGGCTTGCGGACAGACAGACGAAAAAAAAATTAAACGAGATTTTCGTCATCGATGTCTGTCCTAAGCGGTATTTCAAAACCGATACGACTTAGGGTCGTATTTGGTGGTCGTTGACCACCTCGGTGATCTCGCCGCTCGTTTGCCCCCTTTTATTATAAAAAAAAATCATCTTCCCTAAATCTGAAATTTTTCTTTTGAAACAGACACTCCAATTTTATTATATGCATAGATGAAATATTATGTTTTTAATGTGTCTTTCTATGCGCATGTATGATTTTGGTTATGGTTCGTTTCAATTGTTTTACGACCATTCAATACCAGCCCATTTGGAAGTTCAAGTTCATTTTTTTCTTATTACATGCTTCCGAACTTTATAGAAGGGCGTTTGTATTTGTAAAGCCGTTTGTTTAAACCCTTTTGTTGAATCTAACCCCTTTTCTAAATCAACTTGTGGAATTAATCAATGCCAGTAATTTCGACAATAAAGGGTTTCAAATACTTTTAGGTTATAAAGTATGTTTTAAAATATTTAGAACCAGCTGTTGCTTGCGACTTGTTGCTCACAGATAAATTACCTTTCTAACTATGAAAGATTTTTAAAAATAGGCCCAGTAATTTTTGACATAATTTAATACACAAAAATACAAATTTTTCCACTTCATAATGTTAGTATAGATACAGATGACGCAATAGTACTATAAGAGATTTCTATAAATTTCTTTCAGTTTACCGTTTAAAGAAATTCTAGATTCAAGTTGAAAAAAGGTAATTAAAACGATAGAGGCATCACTTCAAGAACACTTAAAGGCTTTCAAGTTGTAAAGGAAGGGCACGGGGCCCGCCCACGCTCTCTGCTTTCCTGAAAGTTTACGATAATGGCCCCGCAGGCTGTTAGCAAAAGAACCTCAGCCAATGTCGGAAATATTTACAAACATATTAAAACTCTAACACTCTTCGGAAATTATTATTACCTTGATGTTTTTTTCTGTCTTAATTACGTTTTGTCTGTTGAAGAATTTATTACGGCATAAATAGTAACTAGTTAGTTCTATCTGTATTTAAAAAAGGCTAGGTAAATAAGTATAAGTAAATAAATTCATAGGACAATAAAGACAAAAGAAGTCCGAAGTATATAAGTCTTGTTATATTTATAATTTTTGGAAATAAGATAGATTAGTTTGATAAACGACGCATATGAAGTATCGAATTAAATTTGTATGAAGACTAATGCCGTACTTAATAGACAGGTATTGTAGTGACGAAGCAAACATGCATAGCAAACACTTGTGAGCTGTCGATATTTGGTTTAAATAAAATTTATCGAACTTAACTAAAGTGACTATCTTCTTATTAAATAATTCAGAGGACAATTCTAGTATTGATTACAGTATAGAGAATTTAGGGATGACAATAATAATATCGTAATCCAATTCGATTACAATTTCGACAAACTATAAATAAGAATAAGATTGATTAGTTTGACAATTCATTTGACAATTTAGTAGGGATGGATTGTGTAAAATCAGGCATGAATCTTTTCGATTTTTATTCTGATAGAAGTTGGAATCGATAGATTCATATTTATAACCTATGAATGTAAAAAATCACTGTTTTCTTAAATTAATAATGACCTGCATAACTATTACAAATAATGAGAGAAAATACATTATATTACTACTACAGCCGTACGTCATCGAATTGGATTTCGCTATTATTAATGTCATCGCTAAATTCTCTACACTGTAATCAATACTATAATTGTCCTCTGAATTATTTAATAAGAAAGTAGTCACTTTAGTTAAGTTCGACAAATTTTATTTAAACCGAATATTGATAGTTCACAATTGTTCGACATGCGTGTCTGTTTTGTCACACCGATACCTGTCTTTTAAGTACGGTATTTACATTCATACAAATTTTATTCGATATATTTTTTTAAATAGGCAAACTATAAATATTTACTTGAATACATGAAGTTATATAATAATAAAAAAAGTCAAAGGTTGAAATTTATTTGGTTGACAATATTACCCATTTTAAGTAATACGAGATTTACTTGTTACTATATTAATGTTAACTATGTACATCGTTAATTAATCGTGAGAAATGTAGGATCTGTCTAACTTCCTAATTACCAGTACCATAAGGTTCTATGTATATGTAAAAATATACGAATTATAGACACATTTTCAAGGGCGTTGTGGCCGAGTTTTGCTTTAATAAGTTACCACGTACAAAACTTGTTTCAGTAACACATGAAACTTCAACAACACGATATGTGTTTATTTTGAACTAAAATGATAAATCAAACAATTTTAATAAACATTTTTACAATTTACATACGCATTTCTAGTGCTCTTAATACTAACGAAGACAGCAAATTGAACTTTACCGGATTGGGATTTAAATATGGACATAATGTTGAAGAACATAATGTAATCACAGAAGATGGATATATACTAAAACTGTACCATATCCCAGGGAACGACAGAAGACCTGTACTCCTAGTTCACGGGATCATCGACAGTTCTGATACTTTCATCATCAGAGGAAACGGATCGCTCGCTATAACTCTTGTTAACAGAGGCTACGATATCTGGGCTATAAACACAAGGGGTAACAGATGCTCAAAATTGCATGAATATTTAAATCCAAATGATGGAAATTTCTGGAACTTCAGTTTCCACGAAATGGGATACTACGATCTACCTGCAACGATCGATTACATTCTCGAGAGAACGAATCAAAAGCAATTGACTGCGATCGGTCATTCGCAAGGCAACACCCTCTTTTACGTCCTGGGATCAACTCGACCAGAATACAATGAAAAAATAAAAGTAATGATAGCTTTAGCTCCGATATGTTTCCTACACAATGTGAAGCCGCCAGTATCAACTTTGCTAGAATTATTACCAACTGTTGGTAATTTATTACAAACTTTTGGTATGGAAGAGGTGTTCAGTGATGAAGCAGTTTATAGTGGGGTAATAAAATCGCTCTGTAATCAGAAAGAGGTTGGTTATGAAGTGTGCGCGCGTGGTGTTTTCTTCGCAATCGGTGGCAGTGATTCTTCAGAATTTGAACCTGAGTTTCTTCCGGTTGTGGTGTCCCGTTATCCTACGAGTACATCGAGGAAGAATGGAGTTCACGTCGCACAAGTTGCTTTGCGTAGAAGTTTTTCTCAGTATGATTACGGTCCGATGAGAAATATCGCAGTTTATAATACGATAGTACCACCGTTGTATGATTTGGGGAAGGTGAAGATGAGAGTAGTTTTATTTGTAGGAAGAAATGATGGAATGTCATCTATACGAGATACGGAATTGTTGAGAGATAGACTACCCAATGTCGAGTACCGCCTGTTAGAACACAAGAAACTCAATCATTTGGATCATGTTTGGGGACGGAATATGGACCAGTATCTTTTTCCACATATACTATCAGTATTAAAAAAGTACAACTAACTAACTAGTTTTTTTTACTGTTTACATGTTTAAAAACATTCATAATCATTTTCTTCAGATTTATGATGTGAGTACCTTTTACGATATGTTTAGAAAAAAAAACAATGAAAAAACCTAACACCAACCTGGCAAGGTTATATGCAAACATATTTTGAATTCATTACAGATTATATAACACACTTCCTGATTATTCATTTTACTGCTTCACAGATTTAGCAAGCATATGATAATGCCTAATTAAAATGTACATTATTACTGGCTGTAAAGGATGATATTTTGCCACAAAGTAGAATTAAAAATTGTCCGTTATGTAAAATGAACGCGGATTACCCATGAAATCATATCTTTTCTATCTGCAACTAATTTAAATGTGACTTGTAAATATTTGCTTTGATTTAAAACATGAACTAATCAAGGCTGTTCGACGCATTAGTTATTCTTGGCCTCATTTTATTCGAATGCATGTACTGGTTAATTAAAAATATTTTTAAGTATACTAGAATTCAAATTATTCCATAAAAGGGTGATCGACCCATTTATAGAATAACTAGCTTTCGCCCGAGACTCCGTCCGAGCGGAATTGAAAAAAACATAAGTGAGTTGCCTATATGTTCTTCCAGACTATCCTCTAAATCTATACCAAACATCGAAATCCGTTAAGTCATTTAGGCTAAAAACTCTAACAAACATCCATACATCTAAATTTTCGCATTTATAACATTAGTAAGATTAGTAAGATATGGTACTCCATCCAAATCATACTTGATTTAAACAATTGTTTTTAAATGTCAAGCCCATTTTTATGTTGTTTTTTCAAATAGTCGAGTATAGCTGACTAGTCCTAGGTCATGACATTTATATTGGCAATTAAAAATATATTTAACTCAGCACCAACATTATTGCAAGTATGAAATGATGCTAACCGTGAACTTCCACTGTCGAAAAATACAATATTGTCATCCCTGTCACTCTGTTTAAAACAGATAGAGATATAAAATGTATTTGTACATGTGCTACCACAGCTTGAAATATAAAACATTTGTCAGCAAAAATGCTAAATAAGGCAATGTAAATGATACACAAACACGTTCATTTTTAGAAATATTCGTGTTTAGACACATTATTAATTTTAGTATTCTATCAGTTAAAATAGAATTTAGTACAGTGAACGTTGTGAATATTCGGAAATTTTCTAGAATGAGCAAAGGATGGGACCTTTTGCTGGCTATTATTGGTAAGTGTTTTACTTTTAAAATCGTACTGAAAAACTTAAGTAGCTGTACTAGAGAGCGTGGTTAAGTAAATATGCAAATAGTAACCCTTAATGTCCATCAACTTTCCATGCAAACAACTTATAAAAACAAGAAGAACGAGTACAAACATATCAAACACATGTTAACAACCTCTGTTATTTTCAAAAGGCAGAAAAGAGATGACGATTATGTTCGCAAATGTGTGTCGGCAGTGAAAACCAACGGTAATGTTAGCGCAAACATTATATTTATTTGCGCGGACAAGGATCTATCAATTTTGCCACCAATTAACTGATGAGCAGTTCTGAAGAACCGCGTAGTTGCTATAGAATTGTTCCTACTAGTGGCCATGACAAGTCAATAAGAACTGACTGCTTTATCTTTATCTTTACTATTATAATGAAGCGTAAACACACACATCTTTGTTGCCTAAGATGTCAGCAATTACAGCATATTTTTGAATAATTCTTTTTTTAGTAATAAGCCCTACATTTACGTCACGTTTTAGGCTATATATTTTCACGCCATTAAACTTAGGGGGTAAATATTTTGTATAAAAACCCTAATGTGGGAAAGAGACCATAAGTTGCTGCCAACATCAAGAAAGAAAGATTGCTAAAGTTTGTCATGTTATGTCATTTTGACATTTGCTATTGATAATTTGAAAAATGTAAACAATAAAATAAAATTTTCATGCGGATAAAGCCGCACGGGAACAGCTAGTATTAAAATAAAACACGCAACGCTTTGGCAAATGTGGCTACCTATGAGCAGTGGTCATTTTGCTATTTTGGCGAAATAAGTTGATTGCTTGCTCCTTTGTTATCTTATATTTAAACCGGCGGCACAAATTTGTTAAGAACTTCAAATATGTAAAGTTGTATGACGTCTATACCTAACTTATTCCACCGATCTGACGCAATAAAGTACGACTTTTACGTTTAAACATCTAGTGAAGCTAATCGAATATCGATTTTGCAAACGATCGATTAAAATCATGAACGTAATAAAATAAATCTCAGGTTTCAAATGTTATAACACATGAGTTGTATATTTGTTTTTTTTTTAAAGAAAATGTGAAAATGACAAAACATGTGCCAATTAGTCAGTTGCAGTCGAAACGAAACCTGTTGTTTGATTTAAAAGGTTTTTGTGGCTCAATATCTCCAATAAGTCGCGGTTAACTCAACAGTAGTTGATAAAACCATATGGATAATATAGATAAATTGTAGAGGTAATTTTTTTTAAATCGATACTGAGAAACGATGTTAATGTGAAATCGATTTTAAAAACATAAATCAAACGTACCTCACTATTTACATTGGCATTTGGCATGGCATTCCAATAGCATCAGCTGTCAGTGTCACGTTACATTTTATACCGCAAAATCCGCAAAAGTGAAACCGCAAGTTGCAAGTGCAAAACCACTCTTATTAGTGATTTTTGCTTCCAATAAGAATCATGTATTTAGTGAATTACTGAAAAAAGCCGTGCTTTAATTTATTACACTGATGTATTTTAATTTTTACACGACTAACCTTAGCCTACTTGGCTAACTAATTACATGAAAATAGGTTATTTCAGTGTATTGGTAAAATGACCGCACCGGATTTAAATGATTTTACAAATTATGGATCGGTTCGTAACCATCCTGGACACGAGTATACGGTGCGACAGGCCTATGAGGATGGTAAGGTTCATTTATTTATAATATTAAAATTTATTTTTGTCATTTGATTTCCTCAAGGAAAATACTCATATACCAGTCGAAAGTAACCTTGTAATTGTTATAAAAGAATAATCTAGCAAAGATAGCTATGGAGAGCTCTCCCTTCATGTTAGTTTCAAATGTATTGCCATAAACATTAGATGGCTATACAATTCCAGTCATGTGTAGATGGGCTACCAACTTCACGAAATTGGTTTTGCACTTATAAAGATAACATATTTTGTAAAATCTTAAAAGTCAATATTAATGAATGGACTCAAACTATGTAGACTTTCTTGCAATTCATAACTGTACATGAGATGCAAGAGCATTCTAAAACATGATCATTTTAAAAGGAAAAAAGTAAAAAAATGGAAAGGTGAAATTTGTTCCAGATTTTCATCAATAGGTTTGTTTGCTCAAAATTCTAGAAAGTTGTTCAATAGCTCTATTACATTCTCTTTTTGTTAGAAAAATATTCATTCCTTACAAAAGTAACTCAAATGTTTATATCAAAATTTCTCGAATGTCATTGCTTTTTAGTTTTTACGTACAACAGTTGTCGCTATGATTTCTTTGTAACATGATACAAAAACCCCTCTAAATATTGTTTTCCCTATTTCTCTTTAAAATAGAGATAAAATGTTTTCTTTCAATATTTCAAGTTTATAGCAGCAAGCGGCCACATCTATTTGCCAAAATATCAAAGTGACCATTCTCTAGAGATATCTTCAATTGCAGATGCATTTAATTGATAAATTTCTGACAGTCTTGAAAGCTAAATTTTTCAATACATAAGAAATATCATAAATATGCTATTCCTTAATAACCATGAACATTAATAAACTCACAAACTTTCATCAAGGTAAACCTGTTATTTGATTGTCTTAGCTATTGACAACATTTGAATATATAATTATTGCCAGTATAATATCAAAGTATGAGTTATATCTAATATTAGGAAACAAAATACTGCAAGTAAAAAGATTCCAGAAAATTCTACAATATTGTGTGTACCAACCAATGATTGAGGCTAAGCTTAGGGAGGACAGCTACTATTAAATCTAATTTATTAAAAGCAGTTTTTATATCTATTTTATGTATTTTGATTCACTACAGGGCAGGGGTTTAACACTGGTAGAGCCCGCTTTAATATCTTCACATTAATGGGTCGGCTCGCCTGGTATAATACCACAATCACACAGAAGACAGCCTTAAAGTGGGAGCAATTCCGCGTTTTGTCTTATGAGTGTGGTGCTGGAGGCCATATTTTAGTTCCTTTGCCTTTCCACCCTTTCTTTAAAAAGAAAGGATGGGAAGGAAAAGTGGATTTGGCAGCGGAGGAGACGCATGGGAAGAGGAAATATCCTCTTTATATGTGTCTCCTCCTTCGATTAAGGGTAGGCAATGCATCTGCAATTGCGGATGTCTATGTGCAGTGGTCGCTTCGCCATTTCGGCAGATTCAGGTGGCCGCTGGCTTGTTTACCACCTTGTATTATAAAAAAAATATGGGGGACTGCCTACCCTTTCAAAGCCCTTGCTATCAAATCATATGTTAGTTTTCAAGCTAGGACCAATTTAATAAAAATAATTGTCATTTTAATTGAATGTAAATGCTTATTGTATCTAAAAACAAAACAGTTAACAATACATAATGTAACGAACTGGAATGAAAACTATTGGAACATAATTGTGGCCGTCTTTAAATGATTTGTGCCATTTCATGTCTCGACATTCAATCAATGTATGGTCAATACACTTGAGTTAGTGTAGCGTCCAGTCTAGTTAATGCGATACAATTGCTCGGTTGTACAACATGCCTGTTTTATGGTTATTGTTCTGTGAGTGTGAAAATTCATTTACAGTGTAACATTTCTATTTTGCTTATTTTACCATGTTTTAGTGTAGCAAATTGTTTTGTGATAATCCATTTTTCATTTTGTGTATTTGTAATTGTGAGTTTTTGTAACATTGCATACATTTACAATTCCATTTTTTAAGAGAAAAATAATATTGAAAATAGGCTCAGTATTTAATGTGTTTTATTTCAAAATAAGATTGTTTAAACTACGATATTGATTCTTTATTCTAAATAAATTTCCTTTATATTTTATTATCATAATAGATTTGATTTCTGTTTCTTTATTGATTCCTATTTCATTGTATTAACCTAATGCACTTGAAAAAAATCTAAGATAGCTGTTCCGTTTACATCTTTCCTCTGTCAGCTGAAAGTAATGTAAGAGTACATAAATAAATATTTATTCCAGGTGGTATAAAGGCAGGAGCAGTGCGTGCAGCACGTTTGGCTTATGGCATCCTCTCACGACGTAAGGCAGCGGAGGAGGGTGTAGCCAGGCTTGCTCGGGTTCTGTCAGCGTTAGATCTGACCGCTTTAGGAGTAGGCAGTACATTAGGGGTTGGAGTGTATGTTTTAGCAGGAGATGTAGCTAAGAACTACGCGGGACCTGCTGTGATACTATCATTTCTTTTGGCTGCAGTGGCTAGTGTATTTGCCGGTAAGTGTTAATAATATTGGTATAGTATTTTTAACTAGATTTCACCCATGACTCTGTGTGTGGTATTAAAAAACTAAAGTAAGTAGCCTATGTGTTCCATTCAACCATTTAGGTTATAAACTCTAGCAAACAACCGTCTAAACTTTCGCATTTATAATAATAGTAAGATTGTCTTACCTTGAATAGACAAAGGGACGTATATAATATTTCCTATCCCTGTACATTATTGATGTTTAAAAGCATTTCATCAAATTTTATGTTTGTTAATTGGTAATAAACTTTTAGGATGAAAGATGATTGTTTATCAATCTGTTGATACAAGGTCAGTGGTTAACCGAACTATAAAGCTTGTACTGTGCATGTATGAAGTCTTTATGTAGAATCAAAGAGCTATTATTCCCAATTATATTATTTATAAATATATTTGAGTTTATATTGGTGATGAAGAGATATTTTATTTGGAAGAGAAAATTTGAATTAGTTGTTTTTAATGTAAATTTAATAGAAATGAAACAAAATCGAATGTGAAGGTAACATGAAAAGAGTTATGGACATCATAAGATTTCACTTTTCATCAATTGGGTCTAAATCTATATTGATGTTATGAAGACGAAAGATTTATATTTTTGTATGTATTGAAATAACTCTAAAAATACTGGGCCGTTTTTAAAACTTCTGGCACCATTAAAAAGCACATTACTGAGTGACAGGATACATCTTTACTTTTTTTTTTACTTTCTCGCGGGCGAATACGCGAGCAACAGTTAGTAATATTATAGAGAGGAAAGATTTGTGTTTTTTATGTATGTATAACTCAAATGTACTGGGCCGATTTTAAACTTTCTTTCACTGTTAGTAAGGCAATTTATCTGTGTGTAATATAGACTATATTTTTTTAATTTCACGCAGACGAAGTCGCGACCAACATCTTCATTTAAAAATGATTTTTTCGAATCAAATTAAGTCTTAATTTGAATAAAATACGAGGGCATATTTAAAAAAAAAAACAGTTTTTAAGGAATGTTACAAAATACTGGTAATAATGATTTCTTTTTGTCTGCAGGTCTGTGCTATGCGGAGTTTGGTGCTCGCGTGCCTAAAGCGGGCTCTGCTTATGTATACAGCTATGTGTGTGTTGGAGAGTTCATGGCTTTTATTATTGGATGGAATTTAATATTGGAGTATATAATAGGTAACACTAAATTAATGTTAACAAAGACTTGAAAATAGTATAAGAGAAGTGTCATTTTGCAAAACTCAGGCTTTATTTAGGCAGGCCCTTAGTGTGGATTTGTGCTAAATTTATTCACTACAAGACTGTCATTAAGTGATTATTAGTATGTTAAATCTACACTAAGGGTGTCATAATGGTAGTGCCCGCTGTAACATCTTAGCACTGCAGGGCCGACACGTCCGCTGTAATACCACGACCACACAGAAGACAGCCTTGAAATGGAAGCAATTCCGTGTTTCGTCTGATGAGCGTGGTGCCGGAGGCCTAATTTAAGATCCTTTCTCTTTATCACTCTTCTTATAAGGAAAGGATGGGAAGGGGAAGTGGATTTGACGGTAGAGGAGATGCATAGGATGGGGAAATATCCTCTTTATGTGCGTCTCTTCCTCCGTCGGATAAGGGTAGGCAACGCATCTGTAATTGCGGATGTCTATGGGCAGGGGTCGCTTCGACATTTTGGCGGATTCAGGTGGCCGCTTGCTCGTTTGCCACCTTATGTTATAGAAAAAGGGTCTTAATTAATGATTTTCAAATACTGAAACCAATCTTAAACACTTCACTGCTTCCGACTTTAAAATATTAATAATATTTGGAGTTTAACTGTGGCCTTATTTTTTAAGACGCTGTATGTTTTTTAGTAATCGACTGTAAGTGACATGGACAAGTGGATATTAGTTTTATGTGATTGGCTAAACGGAGTAATGATAGGTTTAACTAGCTGTTCCCGTGCGGCTTCATCCGCATGCAATTATAAAAAATTTATTTTATTGTTTACATTTGTCAAATTCTCAACTACAAATGTCAAAATAATATTAATAACCTTAATATTGGCAGCTTGTAGTTTATGGCCCCTTTCCTACATGAAGGTTTATTCCCAATTTATTTACCCCTTAAGTTTAACGGCGTGAAAATTTATAACCTAAAGCGTGACGTAAATGTAGGGCTTTTTATTAAAGAAAGAATTATTCAAAAATATGCTGTGATTGCTGATATCTTAGGCAACAAAGAAGTGTGTGTTTACGCTTTATTATAATAGTATAGATAAAAATAGCATTTCTAAAGTGTTTTTCCATACAGGTGCAGCGTCTGTGGTGAAAGCATTAAGTGAATATTTGGACTCTCTGTTAAACAAAGCGATATCAACACAACTGGAAGCGGTATTGCCTCTGAACACGCCACATCTAGCTAAATATCCTGATTTCTTTGCGTTTTCGGTTATTATGGTGTTTTCAAGTAAGTTTCTTTCATTTAGATAATGCTAGCTTTCGCCCGCGACTCCGTCCGCGTGGAGTTAGGCACAAAAGTGAGTAGCCTATGTGTTCTTCCAGACTATCCTCTACATCTATACCAAATTTTATTGAAATCCATTCTGCCGTTTAGTCTACAAACTCTCACAAACATCCATCCATCCATCCATCTTAATTTTCGCATTTATAATATTATAGTAAGTATGGATGGATGTTAGAGTTTGTAACCTAAACGGCTAAACGCATAGTCTGGAAGAACACATAGGTTACTTACTTTTGATTTCTTTTAATTCCACGCGGACGGAGTCGCGGGCAAAAGCTAGTAGTATAAAGTGTAATATTTTTACTTCTTAGTTAAGTGCCTTTAAAATGTCGGTATTCTTTTTAATGTTTTTTGTGTATTTTAGTTGCACTCGCGTTTGGTGTAAAAGAATCGACGAAGTTCAACAATTTCTGTACGGGCGTTAATCTGTGTGTTGTTCTGTTTGTTATTATATCCGGCTCTTTCAAAGGTAAATGAAAACAGTCATTTTTTATCTCTTTTATGTAAGTTAACATTGTGATTCTTTAATCATAATACTTAATTGTATAGCGGTAGCGAATAAAGTTACATAGCTTGGAAAAAAATCATTCGCGACCAAGGGCGGATCCAGCTTTGGGGCCAGTTGGGGGGGGGGTCACATAGTCAAGTCAAGAGCTTGACAAAATATGTAAATATATTTTGTCAAGCTCTTGACTAACCAGCTCAGGGAGGTCTTGACCCTCATGACCCCCCCATGGATCCGCCGTTGCTCGCGACTTCGTCCGCGTGGAATTAAGTTATTTTTTAGCCAATTTGTGGTTCCAGACTATTTTCTACATCTATGTCATTTTATAATCCGTTCAGCAGTTCTGGAGATATCTTGTAACAAACATCCATCCATTATCCATCCATCAATTTATCTAAACAATAATAATAGTAAAAAGTATGGTATTTGAGGGCAACAAAAGCAAATACGCTACAGACCTATTTTTTTTAAATTTAGGTATATAAAATTGTAGCTTATTAAAAGTAAATGTTTTCTAATATGTTTGTTTCAGCGGACACAAAGAACTGGCGCATCCCCGCCTCCGAGGTGCCAAAGACTGGGGGCAAAGACTTCGGCAGCGGGGGCTTCGCCCCGTACGGGCTCGCGGGGATCATAAAGGGGGCGGCGGTCTGCTTCTATGGATTCATTGGTATGATATTTATTACAAATATATGTTAAAATGACTATTTTGTACCCGTATACCATTTATAGTAATAAATTCTTAATAATTACGTATGAATGTGAATTGAAGATAAACTTTTTAATAAAAAAAAAACATACAGACGAATTGAGTACCTCCTTCTTTTGGGAAGTCGGTCAAAAATGCTTTTGCTTGACTTTAGATAATTATTAACTTTTTTTAGTCGAAGATTTATAGATTTATAGATTTTTGCGTATGGAACAGGATGGATGTGACGTTTTCTCTTCTATACTTTCCGTCCGTTCAGATAGAGGAAGACCGAAGAGAGTATGGATGGATTATATGAAAAGGATATGCTTAAGAAAGGAGTGGATTCAGATATGACGGCTGATAGAGATGTATGGAAGAGCAGCACATACTTTGCCGACCTTCCGTAAGGGATAAGGGCAAGTTGATGATGATGAATTCGCACAGGATCTATTATTATTATAAATGTTAGGTTTTGACTGTGTGGCGACCGCTGGCGAGGAGGCCCGCCGCCCCCAGAAGACCATACCGTTCGCGGTGGTCGCCTCGCTGCTCATCGTCTTCCTCGCCTACTGCGGCGTCTCCTCCGTGCTCACACTCATGATGCCTTATTACATGCAGGTAACCTAGTTTTTTTATTGACACTAATTAGTACACTACGTCAACTATAGCAGTAATGTCCCCCCGTACTCTGTACAGTGTGCAAGACAATAGTCCCCTCCCCTTCCAGATTTTTTTACAAACAAAGGATGAGAATGGCAGTAGAATTAACAGGGAATAAGACGCGGTATTAAAAATGTCTTCTTTCTATGTTTGTCCCCTCCTCTGTCCATTAATAGGTAGGCAACATATCTGTAATTCTATACAGTCTAGTCGCTTCACTATTTTGGCGAATTTATGTAACTGTTCGTTTGTCACATAGCGGTATAAAAAAATGACACGTAAAACATTTCAAGATGTATCAGAATTGCTGATAATGTTACCTTATGTCCATGTAGTTAAAGTTGATTTTTGATTATCAACTTGTATTGAGTAAAAAATTATTGATTAGCAATTTTTTTCGCAATAAAAAGTGTTATTGTTGTCTTTTCTCTTCCAGGACGAGAAAGCTCCTTTCCCTTTCGTGTACGACCAGCTGGGCTGGCCCTGGGCGAAGTACGCGGTCAGCGTCGGCGCTATTTGCGCTCTGTGCTCAAGGTAACAACAGTTCATATAACTATCTCTCTCACACACGTACGTTTTCATTCTATCTCACTCTCGCGTTTTCAATCGTCATTTATATAGCGTATGTACAGTCGGGGAAAACCGCGGCGTTCCATTTCAAGAAAAATTACCTTGTTCATTTAAATGAGACAAATTCCACCTCTCCCTATAATTTATTAGATAGCAGTGAATGCGGAAGAAGGGATAGTAATAAAAAATAAACTAGCTGTGTACTAACTGACTTTTTTATAGAGATACTGTTTAACTTGTTACCGACAGCACGGCAGCCAAAAATACAAAACAAAACTTTTCTTCCAACTTAAACATCTTTATTTAAACTTATCTACATGTTTGCAATTAATTAAAAAAATTATATCGCGATCTTGACCTCTTGTCTCTCTTTTTCTTCTCTTGTTTTTCTATCTTCTTAATAAGACACCACTCAAATGTCTCGGTGGCCAGCAACCTCTTTGGTTATATTCATACTGCTTGTCAGACAAAGAGGTTGTATTTTGCACTTACAAATACATTTACAAGCTGCATTGTATTTTTGTTCCGCGTCTCGTTTCTTGATATTCAAACGATAGCTTTTAAGAACACCGTTAATTTCCCCGACTGTACATATAACAAATTTTCTGTAGTGTACGTGTTTTAAACTTTGTTTTATAAGATTAAAAATTACTTACTACTAAGTTTCTCCTAAAATCCATTTTTTCTCAGTTTACTAGGCGCAGTGTTTCCCTTACCGCGTATAATCTACGCGATGGCGTCCGACGGGCTGCTGTTCAAGTTCATGGGCGCAGTTAGCGAGCGCTTCCAGACTCCGCTCGTCGGCACCATCATTGCGGGACTGTTCACTGGTCAGTTTACACTGAATATACTTATTTAACAACATTTCCCAAAAGAAAATAAATGATTTTTTTTTAAATTTGATAAGTAGCCTATGTTCTCTTGTAAACTAAACAAAAAAAAGTTTTGAAGACGCCTTTTAACAAACATCCATCTAAATTTTCTAATTTCTAATATTACTAACATTTATGGTAAATATAATTATTTTTTATAAGGTAGCGATAAGTTAAAATATGGTGTTTATTTAATTTATGTAAAATCGATGGATTTCCATCAAAATATTTTATCTGTGGTTATAGTTCTCACGTATTCTTGCACTTTTTTTTATAAAAACATTATTTTATTTTATATCTCGAAAAATATATATTAAGTTAATAAAATTCAATTTAAATGCTATTATTTATAAATTTAATTTTTGATTTATATTATTTTCTATACTAGCTTTCGCCCGCGACTCCGTTCGCGTGGAATTAAGTAGCATAAGTATTGTTCCAGACTATCCTCTACGTCTTTGCCAAATTTCATCAAAATCCGTTCAGCCGTTTAGACTACAAAATCTAACAAACATCCATTCATCTAAATAATAATGTTAGTAATCATACTAATATTATAAATGCGAAAGTTTAGATGGATGGTTGTGAGAGTTTGTAGCCTAAACGGCTGAACGGATTTCGATGAAATTTGGCATAGATGTAGAGGATAGTCTGGAAGAACGTATATGCTACTTGATTTTTTTTCAATTCCACGCGAACGGAGTCGCGGGCGAAAACTAGTAAGATATATAAAGTAAATTGTATTTATATATGTACTGTGTGAAGGTACGCTGGCGATGATCTTCGAGTTGGAGCAGCTAATCCATATGATGTCAATTGGCACACTGCTCGCTTACTCCATGGTCGCCTCCTGCGTCTTATTGTTGAGGTAACATTTACACAAATACTAGCTGTTCCCGTGAGATTTTATCTGCATAAAATTATTTTATTGTCCACATGTGTCAAATTGACAATTGCAAATGTCAAAATGACATGACATGACAAAACTTCGCAATCTTTCTTAATGTTGACAGCAAATTATGGTCTCTTTCCGACATTATTGTTTTTATCCAAAATTTTTACCCCCTAAGTTTAAGTGTGAAAATATATAGCCTAAAGCGTGACGTAAGTGTAGGGCTTTTTATTTAATAAAAGATTATTCAAAAATATGCTATATTTGTTGACATCTTAGGCAACAAAGAAGTGTGTGTTTACGCTTTATTATAATAGTATAGATATATCCATACTAATTTAATAAAGCGTAAACACACTACTTATGTAAGATGCAATCACAACAGATTTGTTCATAATTACTATTTTTTGTAAAAAAAACTATAACATGCTTTAGGCAGTTATCACGCTATTAACCTTTTTGGGTAGATAAATTGTAAAAAAAATGACATGCGGGAAAGGGACAAAAACTGCTAACCACAAGGTTGCTAAAGATAGTTTCTAAAATTCGCGGCCAATGGCAAAGGCCTTTGTCTTTGGACATTTTCAATTAAAACTTTCACAAATGTTAACAATAAAATAAAGTTTTTATTTTGTTTTTATGTTTCCATTTGTAACAAGACTTGTGAAATCAAGAATATATATTCACAAGAAAATTATAATCACGTTATAGTAAAAAATGTTTCAATAAACCCCATAACATATTATTAAGTAACACTGCAATTCCTGGTAGATACGAGAGGAGTCTATCAGGTCACAGGGCCGTGGAGCCGCTGAACCTGAGCGCGAGGAGTGTGCTGCGGCAGCTGGTGAACGCGGACCAGCTGGCGACGCCCTCCCGGCTCAGCAGCGCGCTGGTCTCCGCCCTGGTCGCCTTGTACGGTCAGTGGACTATAATGAATTACCACATAAGTACAATCAGGGTCTTTCGCGGTGTTGTACTTTAGAACATTTGTCCTTTTTCGTTGTCATGATAAACTCCTAACACTCTTATAGCAAGTAATGTCGCTAATATTATAATAAAAACGTTTTTAAATTGTTTTTTTAAATGTGTACAAAACATTCAAACAAGTGTTTAATGTGGAACACTGCAAGATTCCCTGATTGTACAGTCCCCATTGTTTGCAGTATTGTACTTACAGAAAACCAGTAAATAATTGAAGTAATTATATTACTTTAGATATTGGATATCGTCAATTTACATGAGAAGTATGGACGTATTTCTTACGGTAAATATACCAGTAATTGGTACTATGGTAGTTGAAAAGCACTTTTATCACTATTCTACCAGTCCTAGTCCTTAGAAACTTGTGTAAATACAGAAGAACCTCGATAAGTCAAAGTCCAAGGGAAACACAAAATATTTTAAGTTATAGAGGTTTTAAGTTATCAAGGGTCTATGTTATAGAGGTTTTGGGCTCCGATGGGAAGGGAACATATTATTTTTTGAAGTTGTAGAGGTTTTTATGTTACCAAGGTTTGAGTTATCGAGGTTGGTATGGTGTGCTATGGATAACCGATCTTTGCCTTCAAATCCCGCCATTCGACTATTGTGAATCATATCCTAGCAGAAGCTTAGAGCTTAGTTGGAATGGTTAAAGGAAATATTAGTAAATTAACAAAAAAATACTGATATTTTTATTAAAAAAATTAACAGATTTTTGAGCAATTTTTCTTAGTATTTCTTCCTAATTGACGATCAATTATTGGTACATTTACCTTATTTAAGTGAACCTATTTGAAATTCCGAAGCGTTTAGTAAAGTGCCAGTAAATCTGCATACCAGGTGTGTGGTGCCTGGTGACGATGGTGTGCGTGTCGCGGCTGGGCGCGGCGGCGCTGCGCGGCGAGGCGCTGGCGCTGGGCCTGCTGGCGAGCGGCGCCGCGCTGCTGCTGGCCACGCTCTACTGCCTCTCCCGGCAGCCCGTCTCGGAGAAGAAACTCGCCTTCTCGGTCAGTATAACCACAATCCGGTAATAACGAAGTGACGGCCCCGGACGAGACCCCTGAGGGAGCCCTCGAGCTTAGTAATTCATAAACGAGGTTTAGGACCTTAAGGCACTTAGCCATTTCAAATCCAGTGAAACTGTAAATGCCTCTTCAAGGTAAAAAGTTCGAAAGTAAAGTGCGTTTTTTTTTACTTTAAGTTAATGTTTAAAAATACTGAATAACGAGGTAATTTTTTTTGCGAAATTTGGCATTTTTGTTGAAACGGTAAGGAAAAATGAAGTAAAATTATAACTAACTGGCTGTTCGCGACTTGGTCTTCGTAAAATTAAAAATTTACCTTATGTTACTCACAGATAAATTACCTTTGTAACGGTAAAAGAAATTTTAAATTCGGTACAGTAGTTTTTGAGTTATTTCGATACATACAAAAATATAAATCTTTCCTCTTTATAATATTAGTATAGATGAAATAATGTAAAGGTTTTAAGCTTTAAATGATGTAGTTTCTGTGAAATATTCTATAGCTAGTTACATATGTCTAAGCCAGAGTTTCCTAGACCTTTTATTTCGTGGACATCTTTCAGAATACTGATTTCAATAGACTCTTGCTGAAAAAACATTAATAAAACACCGCATCTAGATTCCAGGTGTCTACTTTGAGTGACACTGTACTAGGCGTTTAGTGGAAATGGGGTTTAAGACAATTGCGATGTGTTGTGCAGGTGCCGCTGGTGCCGTGGCTGCCGGGAGTCAGCATCCTCATCAACGTGTACCTGATGCTGAATCTGGACTACGCCACCTGGCTGCGCTTCGCCGTCTGGATAGCTGCCGGTCAGTCACCTTACACCACAAATATATATTTATGTACTATTATTATAAAGCGTACACACACACTTCTTTGTTGCCTAAGATGTCAGCAATTACACCATATTTTTGAATAATTCTTTTTTTAATAAAAAGCCTTACACTTACGTCACGCTTTAGGCTATATATTTTCACTCCATTAAACTTAGGAGGTAAATATTTTGGATAAAAACTCTAATGTGGGAAAGAGACCATAAGTTGCTGCTAACACCAAGGAAGCAAGGTTGTCACGTCATGTCATTTTGACATATGCAATTGATAATTTTACATATGTAAACAATAAAATAAAATTTTCATAATGTTATGCGGATGAAGTCGCACGGGAACAGCTAGTATATACTAACACTATTGTTACAGGTGTTAGCTTATTAACTATTTTGATATATTCTTAAAAGTTATTCGTTAATCTGTGTTATTTATCAATACTATCTCTTATATATCTATATCTTTATTTAATACAATATTGTAAGGAAAATATAAGGAAACGGAACGAATAGTGGGGGGTAGTTTTATAAAATACATGGCTTCTCCAGTGGTAGTGCCCGCTTTAACATGTTAGCAGTGCAGGGCACGCCAGTAACACCACGACCACATACAAGACAGCCGTCAAATGGAAACAATTCCGTGTACAGTCTGATGAGTGTGGTGCCGGAGACCTAATTTAAGTCCCTTTCTGTTTAACATCCTTTTCTTTTAAGGAGAGGATGGGAAGGGGAAGTGGATTTGACGGTGGAGGAGATGCATAGGAAGGGCAAATATCCTCTTTATGTGCGTCTCCTTCTCCGTCGGATAAGGGTAGGCAACGCATCTGTAATTGCGGATGTTTATGGGCAGCGGTCGCTTCGCCATTTTGGCGGGTTCAGGTGGCCGCTTGCTCGTTTGCCCTTTATGTTATAAAAAAAAGGGAGTGGCTCAGAGGCTCAATCGCCATCAAGCTCAGTGTTTTACTAGTCGTGACAACGGAACGTTCGATATATTTGCGTTGTCGCATTGGAGGTCAGTTTGTGTGTTTTAAAGTAATTTACAAGTATTGTTAATATGGCCGTCCGTCTATATTTGAAAAAAAAAATCATTTGTGTCTAAATATCTTACACAGGTTTTTGAAACTCTTTAGGATAGAAATTCAATGAAACAACTAAATAATGAAAAGGTTTATTATATTTTCATATTTTTAGGACATTATAGAATCAAAATATTTACATACTTGTTATAAATTATGTTGACTTAATCTGCAATACATTAAAAACAGTTATTTCTATACTAATATAGGAAAACTATGTTTGTTTGTAATGAATAGGCTCAAAAACTACTTAGCCTATTTTAAAAATTCTTTGACCGTTAGAAAGGTTATTTATCTGTAAATAAAATAAGCTATATTTTTTTAATTCTTTGTTATTATTTTTAAATTTCGAACACGGAGTCGCTGGCAAAAGCCAGTTAAAAATATAGCCTATGTGATTCAGTGATAAGATATAGTGTAAAAAAAATAATATCGGCCAGTAGTTTTTGAATCCCTTCAAAACATAAAAATACATTTTTTTTAAATTGTTACTATAAAATTATATATAACATTTTAAACATGACAAACGAATTATATAATTTTTATTTTTAAATTACATTGCTTCATGAATAATGATGCAAATTGAAACACTATTTTAATTTTCAGTATATGTATCTGTATTCAAAATGTCAAAAATATAAGGAAATAGATAATCTTCCATATGTAGACCGCTAACGAAATCAAAATGGTTCATCTTTCTGCGGGGAATTACTAAATACTTGACAACATTAGGTAGTCTCTCTCTCAGTAAAGCCACGTCTTCTATAGTCGACAATTTATCATTTGCACCAACTAATAAAGCAACTTTTATATTAACAGCACTTAAATTATATTCCATTGGTTCAGTTAAATTGTAAATTTCTATATTACGTTGTATTCCGTAATCGTAGTTAGCGAATTTCCTTCTCAAACTCACTTGAGCGAAATGTACAAGATCTTTTTCTGAAGTACCTACAGGGAAATGATCAACAAATGTACTAACAAAACTAGGTTCAAACTCATCTATGTCATCACCTGATAACGAAAATAATAAATCTAAAATACATGTTTTGTAACCAATAAACGGTATACGACAGTATTTACGAAGAATATTAACAATTAGAGAATTATCACCAAACACTTCTTGCAAGTTAAGGAGTTTAGCGATCCTATCAAGTTTGGGAGACACTTCAATTATCTTACTTACCGGTGGTTGAAGGTTTTGTAAGAAACATATCGGTGCTAAAGCTATTAAAATATTAATTTTATTATTATATTCAGGTCTCGTTGATGTCAGAACATAACATATAGCATTACCTTGTGAATGTCCCAATAAATTTATTTTTTTACTCCCAGTTAAATATAAAACCGTATCTATTATTGCTGATAAATCGTAGTATCCAAATTCATGGAAAGAGAAATCCCAGAAATCATCAGAGTCCGGATCTAGGTAGATATGTTTTCTGCCGTATTTATTTCCCCTGCAGTTCCCAACCCAAACGTCGTAGCCGTTAGCAGCCAGGGTTAGAGACAGGGAATTATTTCCCCTGATGATCCAAGTATCGGCGGAATCGGTTATCCCATGCATTAATAGCACCGGTGTTTTCACACTTTTTACACTTATTATATGAAATAGTTTTAATATATACCCATCTTCGGTTATGACAATAATTTCTTCAACTTTATATCCATATTTATTTCCAATTTGAACGAAATTTAATGGTTTCTCTTCGAAACCGAACGCGTACAAGTTGAACACAATTAAAAACAGAAAGACTGTACAAGTCGCCATGTTAATTGTTAACTGTATACTGATAAAGTTTAGTAGGTAGTTTTGGATGTTTTTTACCGATTTTTTTTAAGGTTAATTGTTTTAAACAAATGAATGTCGTGTAATTTGTCTGTCTTAGATAATGCTTGCTACAGAATTGTGCATTAGCGGTTTCAAATTTAAACTAAAGACTTCGATTTATAAGAGAATTTATTGCTACACAAAAAGTAACATTTTCATAGAAAAAAAGCAAGGAAAGTAGTTAATGCAGCTTAGCAGCTTTGATCAGATTTAATAAATAGATTGTAAAGTGCTAATGTTATGGATGTATGGATGTTAGTTACTACATATCCCCAAAATGTGGAAACTGATCACAGTCGAGGAAAATGCCATCATTCAATGAACCCGGATATGTTTATGGTTCCCGGAAATACGTTTGTTTTTTTATATTTTTACGATAACTCCGCTAGCAATTCCTTTTAATTCAATCATATCACGTGTGTTCTTTACACTTCCCTGCTTTACACCATATTTTCCTTGCAGGTTTAATAATTTACGTAACATACGGTGCGTGGCACAGCGCGGAGCGGCGCAAGACACTGGACAGTGTGCAACTGGCCGACTTGCATAACGACAGTCGCACGGAGCTGCTGCAGCGCGGCGGACTGCACGCGCTCGGCTGACACTCCGCAACAGGGGGCGACTGTCTGCATGGCAAGTGTCTGCAAGGCGAGTGCCCGCAACATGGCGACAGTCATAGTGTTTGCGACGCCATCAGTCCTAGCGGCACGGTCGTCTCATTCGTATCGAGTATTTAATTCTAAATTCAAATTCGGCTTAAAACTTGTGTGTTTGAAAATCGAATTCTATTTAAAATTTTTGAGTCTTTGAATTCTGTGTTTAGAATTCGAATTTTAAATTTATATTCGAATTATAAAATTGAAAGATTGTATTTTTTTAAAATCGAATTCTAGAAAGTTCTTATTCTGTGTTTTAAAATTAGAATTCAAAGTTTTGAATATCGAATCATTGTACAAAAATTGTTCGATTAAAGAAAAATAATTTGTTAAATGTTGAATTTGTTTTTAAAACTCAGAATTTGTAGGTTACAATTTTGTAAACCGCTACATTAAGATACGCATTTATAGCTTTGTACTTAGACACTTAAAATAGAAACTGTTTGGTTCCTTTTAGTAATTTTTACCAAAGTATTGCCTGCAAATGATTTCTCTTGCTTTAGTTTTAAGTCTATTGTACTTTTAAGTGTGTTTGCAGTGAAAATACCAAAATAGTTAAGATCTATGTCTAGGATTGTGTTTAAGACATGGTTTTTGTGTCACAATTACAGTGTGACATAATTACTTATCAGAGAATTAGTCGTAGTTAAGGAAAAAAATTTTAAACCACATAGAGAATGTATTTTTACGGAATTTTCCTTAAAAAAATTTTAGAAACGCGATTAAATTGTTTTTTTTTTTTTTACTTCTATGACATTTTAAATGAAGATTATGTGAAAAATGTTTTGGCTCCTCTGTAGACTATCATAAGTCACTTTTTTTTGATTCAAACAATGTTTTATGGTAAATATTAACTTCTGTGTAAATTTAAAATTAATGTAAGAAAGGATATCTGATAATGGTTGTCTATCATCTGTATAATATTTGTATTATTGTTTAAAATTTTAATTTTGCAAAATTTAAACATACATTAGTTTCCATAGGGATCATTTTAAGTAATTTTATAAAATGACAATAGCAGATCTGTTATAATTTGGACTCGAATAAGCGTTTGACATTTTTATTATTTTAAATGTAACTTTTTTATTTGTACTTAAGTGATTGTGTGTAACAGTATTAGAAAAAAGGCTGTGAAACGGCAATTTTTCAATAAGTATTGTTAAATGTTGAATCAGTGTTATTTTTTGCAATTTAATTTACCCTTTCATAGTTTTTATGCAATATTTTGTGATTAAACCATTCCTCTGACATTTGGCGGAGAAATAAAGCTTTTACCAATAGTGTTTTATTTTTTTATTATTTCCCAATATTAAATTATTTGAAACAAAACATTTAAGAAAATCAAATACAATATTATAAAAAAAAATTATGTGTTTTCAAAACGTTTATTGCATTTACAATACTTTGAGTCTCATTCTAGAAATTTCTTAACACTTTAAAAATATATGGGAACAAATATTCATACATGTGCCGACCCCAGATGAAATCGGCGTGATTCATTTTCCTTCTCGGTAGTAAAAGATATTCATCATTTGGTAATTTTTCCCTTAATATAGCGACATCTTCTAACGTAGCTAATTTATCGTTAGCGCCAGCAAACAAATAAATTTTTGTTGTAACCGCACTTAAATTATATTGCGGTGGTTCCTCACTATTGTATATAGCTATATTATTTTCTCCATAATCGTATTGTGCAAATTTTCTCCTTAAACTAACTTGTGCGAAATGGTATAAATTTTTCTCTGACACACCATTTGGGAAATGTCCAACCAAAGTTGGTACGAAATTTGATTCCAATTCTTCACTATCGTAACCGGCAATCGGAAATATTACACTTTTCACACAAGAAATATAACCGATTATCGGTTCTGGGCATAAAAATTGCCAAATATCGATTAGAACGGAATCCTTTTTAAATAATTCGCGTATATTTAATATTTGCGAGAGTTTATTTATTATTGGAGATATTTCTATAATATCTTTTAACGGTGGTTTTATGTTTTGCAAGAACGCAATGGGCGCTAACGCTATTAAAAAATTAATTTTCTTATTGTATTCAGGTTTTAATGAACATAAAACGTAGAATATTGCATTTCCTTGTGAATGTCCGATGGCGTTTATTTGACTAACTTTAGTGATATTTAAAATGGTATCTATGATTGCTGCTAAATCGTAAAATCCGTATTCATGGAAACTGAAATTCCAGAATTCTTTATCTGTATCTGGATTCAGGTAGATATTATTTCTACCGTATTTATTACCTCTAACGTTGCCAGCCCATACATCATAACCATCGTTGGCGAGCGTTATTGCCAGTGAAGAATTTCCTCGTATTACCCAAGTATCTGAAGTATCAGCCAATCCATGCATTAATAATATTGGTATTTTCCTCTTACCCGGTATACGAAAGATTTTCAATATATAACCGTCTTCTGTGTTCACAATATACTGAATTGCATTATGACCGTATTTTGTTGCCAGTTCGAGAAAATTCAATCTCCCATCTTCGGACAGATGACTTGCAAAACACCGGTTTATAAATATTAAAAAAATTAACACTTTTAGGGTTGCCATATTTATAAAAAAATATTACAGTGGAATAAAAATTAGTCTGTTTTATACAAACTTCCATTAAGAAATGTCGGTTAGTTGAATCGAAACACATAATTTATCTATAACCTCTTAAGATAATAGACACGGTTAATATTTTAAACCATTAATATACGCTGTACATTGTTTGGTTAGATATTGTGTTTATCATATGTTTATATTGGCGAAACGCTATTAGTTCCCTTAATATGGTAATTTTAATGTAAATTTTCTAGGCCAATTGATAACAATAGCCTTAGCAGATTACACTCAAGGCTTTTTAAGGTATTTACATTTTACAATTATGATCACTCTGAATTAAGATAATCCCATTTCAATATAATTTAAAGAGAATAATCGTGTCTATGTATATGTCACGGTAAGAGTGAATAATTTAATTATTATTAATAATAACCGCATGTTTTGGTAAATAAATAAGCGATCGAAATATATTACTTTTAGTGGTAATTACTAATAATTCACGACACATATTGATAAAAGTTATAAAATAAATACAAACCCAATGTTTTTTGACCACCAAGTATTTATCTATAATATTAAACACAGTCCTAACCTAACCTAACCAAACGCTGTCCTATATTTCCAACTGGAAATTTTGTTTTGGATAGTTTTAGCATTTTTTTAAATTAATTAATTAATATTATTTTTTTAAATCACCAATCAATACGATCAACTTGACATCTTGAATTGAATTCAGTACTCTTAATGGGCTTTAATACTAGCCCTTTTTTATTTTTATTATATTATATTAATTTTCTTTTGGCATGTTTGACACAAGTTCAAATAAATAGTTATAAGTTCAAGTGTAATATTCATATATTTATTTTTAGCTCTTTAACCATTCTGGCGCGCCCTCCGTGACCAATAGAAATAGGAGTCTCATGAATAATATCAAAATAACTTTTTATTTAGTTATTTTATAACTTTTAGCAATATGTGTCGTGAATAATTACCACTAAAATTAATAAATTTCGATCGATTATTCACATTTACCAAAACATGCGGTTATTATTAATAATAATCGGTAATTATTAAAAATTTTCAATTATTCACTCTTACCGAGACATATACATGATTGTTAGTGAATTTTTATAATATGCTTTTTAATTGGACGTACGAGCTAATTATTTTCAAAAGTAGATTACCCTAAATTTAACTAATTGTTACTGTACTGGTTTACTTTACTAATTATAAATGAGTAAATTACTAAGTAATTAGGTAATAAATTAATTTACTAAGTAATTAGGTAATTTATAATGACGTAATGTTTAAACTCCCTTTCCTCCGTTTTCAAATGAAATTTAAGACAATAAGAAAACTATATCTAAAAAAATGTTTTTCAAACAAAATGTAGAAAGTCTATAAATAAAAAAAAATTAAATGTCATATTCTTTATTTAAATTTGAATCACAGGTTAAAACTTAAAATGTAACCATGGCATGTGATTTTGTATCTTTTAGTGTAGGTTTCCACCGGAACTTTTCGCGCTAGTAGAAACCCACGGTTATACGAAATAAATCACATAAAATAAACCCTATTATAATATTTAATTTATACAAGCAATAGGTCAAATATTTCAAGTTTACATTAAAGTTACTTTTAAGTACATTTACAACTTGTTATAAAATCTCACTCAAGTAAATAGAATTATATGAAAATAATATTTTCATCTTAAAAATTAAACATTTCTGGGCTATTTTAATATGGTAGAACTTCCAATTGGTATACACAGAGTTGTAAAACTTTATATAAATCATTAAGCGTCCCTTAGGGTAGACTATATAGAAATCTACACTAAAGGCCACTAACGTCTTTTAAAGTAACAGTAAATAGGGAATAAACTGAAAATTTGACTGAAAATTCAAAATCGGCGACTTAATAAGTTATTTTTTTTTTGGAATCAAACGTCCCGTTTTATCACATTAGACACGCTAGGCGTTTCAAATTATCTTATTGAGCAATAATCTATACTTAATATATTTTAATATTAAACTATTAAAAATTATCTATAACATGGCAAAGTTATAAATCAAATATAAACTATATTAACACTCAAAGTCGCTTAATGGTTAAAGGAATCCCTTAGTGGAGAAATACTCTAAAGAAATTAGTAACCATTAAGTGAATATGAGTGTAATTTATTTAAAATTTCAACCCAATTATAATTAAATTTACTAAAACTAAAAATATCACACTTCGTACATACCAAAAACACTTATAGAATAAAAATATAATGTCAATTTGTCAAATATCTTCCGATTTACTCAAAATATTGGTTCAAAATATCTATCTCTGTTTATTCAAAGGGAAGTGAGAGAGATAGCATGTCTTGTAGCGTTTGCAAATGTCTAAGATGTTAGAATTTTGTTACGACGTGCTTCTCTTCTATGCCGTTCTTTGTCGGTTTCATGGATTGTATTCTTAACGAGCTGTTTCTGATCCCGTAAATGAAATATATTAGGTAACCTGCAAGGAAAATGTTCATAAATAAATGTAAAATGACCAGGGTGAGGACAGATGCAGGCCGGTCGCGGACGTAAGCGTAAGTGTGCCCGTAACCCTGTCTTAAGGCGTTGGAGGGACCGAGGGGTTTAGTGAGTATGCCCTCCATTATGGAGGGAGAGTCACACATAACTACCGCGTCCCCCTGGGCGCGGAGTATCCGTAAGATGCATTACCCTCGTGTAAAAAAGAGGGTAAGGACAGACGAAAAAATCTTCAATTATAAATGTTTACTTAAAGAAAATTATAGTTACCGGCTTAGCCAGTAAGTATTAAAAATGTAACATAAGTATTTTATTGTTGCATTACCCATTTAAAAGTGTAACAGTATATTTCATACTAGCTTTAACCAGCGACTCCGTCCGTGCGGAATTAAAAAACTTCGTACTTACGAAGTTTCTTAGGCTACTTAGCCTATGTTTCAAACCAAATTTCATCGAGATCCATTCAGCAGTTTAGGCAGATTTGTATTTTTGTATGTATTGAAATAACTCAAAAACTACTGGACCGATTTTAAAAATTCTTTCACCTTTAGAAAACTACGAAATCACCGAGTTATATTTTTAAATTTAACATAGATGAAGTCGCGCGCAACAACTAGTCTGCAATATTGGATTAAATAGTTAAAGTAATCATTAAAAACTGTAACTTAGGTCTTGTAACATACCTATAGCAAGCCAGATGATGAACCGCACCCAGGTCTGGTAGTCCAGCTGCATCATGAGGTACAGGTTCATGCAGACGCTGAGGTACGGCACCAGCGGCACGAGAGGCACCTGGATAGAAATTACGGCATTTTAAACTCTGTTTGAAATGAAACAGAGTTTTAAATGTATTACAGTGGCGACATCTATTTACATTTGTATATCAATGTCGCGACAGTATCCTGGATGCGTCGGTGGTTCAGTGGTTTGAACACTTGACTTGTAATCTACAGGTCTTGGGTTCGAATCCCGCCGTACCAATGTGATTTTCGATTTTTCGAATTTACATATGTACATAATTTACCCGAAGTTCTTACGGTGAAGGAAAACATCGTGATGCCTGCACATATCGGCCAAGATTTTCAAAGATATGTGTGAAGTAAACCAACCCGCTGTGTAGTGTGGTTGACTATGGCCTAGTCACCCCTTATTAGAGTAGGCTCCGACCCCTCGGTGGGGACGTATAGTGAGCTGGTGATGGTGATGATCCTGGATGAGAGAGCCACAGGACCGATTATCTTGGCCATCTTTAGGGGAGGCTTATGCCCAGCTGTGGGCGTCATATGGCTGAGTTTTAGACAACTTATTTAATTGATACTGTCGCTTTTAACTTAGAGCAGTACTTCTCGTCAAGACTCAAGTTGCGCGCCAATCTATCCATACTTCTAGTGACATTGACAGCTGTCAGCTAGGGAAGTGACGTTTATGCCGATAATCTAGAGTTGCGCCAACTCTACAGCACAGTACTAATTTTGTTCCTAACAAAAGATATTGTTAGGAACAAAATTAGTTCCTATTTCTATCTAGAAATGTTTGTGTAACGTACCGTGAATGTGAGATGTGCGACGTCGTTCCTGGGCTGGCGGTACAGCACCAGCAGCAGCGCCAGCAGCACGCCCGCGCCCGCCGCCGCCAGCGCCAGCTGCTGCTGCGCCGACGCCTCCCAGCGCAGCGCCGCAAACGTGCACAGCGCCGCCACGCCTAACAGACATTATTATTATACAAATAGGACGGAACAAACAAAATTCATTTGCCCTTGAAACACGGGCTAAAGACCAAACATAGGATTCTTATCAAATATCACAAACAGGTATATACATAAAAGTATAGATTCCTATTGTTACAATTCAATTATAATAATCTTATTTATTTTTTGGTTTTTAAGCTAGGACATTGCCCTAAAATACTCCCTTTACTGTCATGGGATTGGGCTGTGGTCTGTGGAGAAACAGGCAGCTGTCCTACCCCTAGTAGTTTGAAAGATCTCAAATAGATATAAACGCTGCTTTGAATAAGATCCCGTGCCGTGTATGTGTGGATACCTACCTAATATTCCAATGCTCCATTTGGCGATGTTAGCGGACAGCTCTGTGGGGTGTTTCAGACCGAGCAGGTTGAAGAGTTGCCGCACCACGCTGTACGCACTCTCCGGCACTGGCTTGCCGTTCTTCAACTGCAACTCTCCGTTCTCCTCGTATCTGGAAACCGTAACATTTTGTTTTACTCTTCGTTTAAAATGCTGAAACGAACCTGAGTTGGCACACCGCGAAGATGACGTGCCAAATCAATTTCCGACTGCAATTGTGTTAATTTCGTGTTTTTATTGTTAATAAAAATTTAAAAATAAATGAAACATACCTGAGAATAAGTACGCTAGTCGCAACAATGGTGTAGGCGAGTAGTGTACCGATTGACATCATATCTATCAGCTGGTTGAGGTTGAAGATTGCCGCCATGATCGCTGGAACGGTTTAAGGTTGTTCAAAATTAAACTCTAACATTACGCGTAACGATACATTTTACAATATCTTGTGAAATCTTAAACTATAAAATGACTGGAGTTGGCTTACCAGATAACAATCCGCTAAGTATTGTCGCAAGCATGGGTGTTTTTGTCTTGGTGTTGATAGCAGCAAGGGGTCTGAAGAGGACGCCGTCGCTCGCCATAGCGTACAGTACCCGCGGCAACGGGAACATGGCGCCCAGCAGGCTGGTGCAGAGCGCGCACACCGCGCCCCCCGTCACCAGCCACCTCACCACTGGCATACCCACCTGAGTGAATACGTACGGGAATGGTGCATCTGCGTCCTGAAATACAAACAATTCAAGTTAGTTTATTTTACTAGCTTTTGCTCGCCGAATAAAACAGCTTAGTAATTAGCCTATGTGTTCTAGACTATAACCTACATCTGTGTTAAATTTCATCAAAATCTATTGATTCATTCTGGAGATAACTTCCTAACAATCATCCATTTAAACTTTTACATCTTATAATATTAGTATGACTTACAATTAAAAACCAGCCAGGATAAATTCAACGATCTGTTTTGAAACAGAAATAAAATAAATCAAATGATGAACTAAAATTATTCTAGCAGTATCATACCTGAAGGTAATACGGCCACATCATGGTAAGAACAGTGGCGATACTGAAGTACGACGCAAATATGATGACCAGAGACAACACGATGGAAAGGGGTATATCTCGCTTAGGGTTCTTCGCCTCCTCGCCGGTGGTCGCCACGCAATCGAAGCCGACAAAACCGAAGAAACACTTAGCAGCGCCGGCCATCACACCAGCGACGCCCCACGGCATAAATCCACCAGCGCCCGCTGACGCACGTTGCTCTTCTGGGATATCTTCAACGTTTATCTTCCAATTTGCTGGATCACCTAGAAGTTATTGCGTTAATATGTGCAAATGTGCTGATCAGTTGTCCAAGGCTGGCGTAATAAGCTTACTTTTCATTGCTCCAGCAATAACAACGACGATAACAGTAGTCATATTAAGAGCTGTGAAGACGTTGTTTATCTTAGTTGATTCACTTACACCGACCGCGAGAAGAACTGGAATCAAGAAAAGTATTAAATTAAACGAAATAATAGCAAGCATGAACTAGAAAACACATTTTATGTTTACTTATTAAGGTAATCACTTAACACCACGAAATCCAATATAAAAACAATACTTACTAGTAATCAAAAGCACCAAAGTGAATGCGAAGAAATCAGGATAATCAGCGAGGAATGATATATTAATCGGTGCAATGGATATCATGGTATTTGCCAGAGTATTATTGCAGAGACTATCGACGTAGTTGGCCATCCCTTTGGCCACACTGGCCGTGCCAATAACGTACTCCAGGATGAGGTTCCAGCCGATAGTAAAAGCAACGAATTCACCAACACTGACGTAACTGTATACGTAAGCGGAACCAGCTTTTGGTACTCTTGCAGCGAACTCTGCGTAGCATAGACCTGTAATTTAAGATGATATCAATTTGCTGACATGAAGAGCCACTGCAAATGACAACAGATTGATACAAGAAGTTTAGTGGTCCGAAGCTCTGACGAAATTTTAGCAAACTTACCAGCAAATGCAGAAGCTATCGCTGCAACTAAAAAGCTGAGTGTCACAGCTGGTCCTGCGACCGTCTTAGCCACAGCACCCGCCAGCACGTACACCCCTAGCCCCAAGGTGCTGCCTACTCCCAGTGCAGTTAAATCTATCAGACCGAGACATCTTGAAAGCTGGGTTGTATTGTCATCTTCTAATTGCTTACACCGGCGCAGCGCCGAAAATATCCTTGCACAGCCCATCTGAAAAAAACTGTAATTTGTTACAAGTGTTAAAGCATTGTGTCTCTCGAGAGAGAAACTCTCGATCAATCTTTCTCTATTGTGTGCGCCGATTTCTCAATTTTAAAAGTACAATTTTGTGTCAAATATCCTATCTCTTTAGCTAAGTAAGAAAGTAATTCTATCTTGGTTTCCGTATTCATTTATTACGTTAGTTATAAATGTAAATACGATAGACTATTTCATAGATTATGTTATAAGCAGTTGGGTTAATTGGTTAATATTTTATATTTAAAACTTGATATTAAATGCATCTTTGGAATAATAAAAAGCTTCAATTCAGAAGCGATTTCCTTGCAATCTTTTAGATTGGCAATTTCTCGGAAATTACTTATGGAAAATACGCGATAAGATTTTTACGATTATGTGTTGTAACGTGAATATTATATTATATTTATGGTATTATATATATATATATTGGAATTATTTTTACACTTTAATAGTAAGATCTATTTAACAATTTAATAGGAAATCGATAATACTGGAAACGTAAGCACCTATTTCTACTTAGATGCCGCGTGACGTCGATCGCTAGCGATTGTTCCTAGTCTAAGCTCCAAGAGGAAATACAGCCTTATATTAATGCCTTGTAAAAATAAAGCCAGTATTAAATTCTTGTCTACAGCAATCTCGACTTAAGTCATTGCTTGAGAATTCACATTCATAAAAACATATTGTTTTACAATATTTGCACGCAAAATTTTCAAGCGTATCTCTTTATGATTTGGATTATAAATGTTTGGATGACATTATTATAATTTTTATGTACCCAGATTACCTAAGATAGGATTGTGCGTACAAAATACTAAGAACACTAATTTTACTCGTGTTCAAAAAAAAAACATACAGACGAATTGAGTACCTCGTATTTTTGGGAAGTCGATCAAAAAGACGTCGCAGTACATACAAAATAATTAACTAATGGTTTAATATATTATTACTATTGGGATTAAATCCTGTAATTTTCAGAAATAAAATAACTTTAAATTGAAAACTATCAACTCCAGTTTATTGTAGTGCAATTTTTTTTAATATAAAGTCTATTAAAATGACTAAATTAAATATTAAAAGAAAACAATGAGAACTTAAGAAAATCATTTTTACTATCGATATTTCTTGTCACGGTCTCGCAATCGGTAATGAACTTGCCAATGTCCCCGACAGATTGCCAATGCTGCCTGTTTGTAAATTTCCTAGGAAAACTATAAGGCGACAGAATCGAAATTTCACAAAAGAACGTGATCGGAACTTAGCAAATTGGTTATCCTGATACGATTTGTTTATTTGTTTGGTATCTTTGTCTTGTCTAGCCAAATTACAAAGAGGCGGCATTCACGTTCTATCAGTGATCTACACAAACGTAGTTGGAACCAGTTAAAGGTAACTTACTTCCTACACAACTAATGGTTAAAACAAGTCATTTGATTATCGACTAGATATATTAAATATTTCAATGCAATACAGACGTTTATAATAGCTACAACCTTTTATACTCTAAAAATCAGGTGTTTTGTAAAAAAACTCTAATAACAAAAAAGGTCTCACACCATTCTTATGAATATTGAATAAGACTAAAAAACATAATTTAGTTGCGCGAGAAACTAACATTTCATTATAAATTATAGTATAAAATATCTATTTTCTAGGTCACATAGCATTTTACGATTTAATTTAACGAATTAACTACACAAGCAAAACTATAAAACACTTACCGAAAACTCAGGAACACGATAAAAGAAAACAATTAAAAAAACAATTGAGTAATTAATGAAATTAAAAACACAAAATCACTGCGTGACTGTGTACCAAACAGTGACAACGTTAAATTCAAAGTGTCTCGTCACTTCGCCCCTATTTGTTCGTCTCTAATCTTTACAACCTGCATAATTCCTCTATAGACACTGATTGTCGCATTCACGCTAAAGGTGGAGTCACACTTAACTAAAGACTAATCTTTTTTAAGGAGTCTAGAAGGAAGCAAACAGAAAAACTCTCAGTAAAACTTTAACGCGCCATGGACGGTCGCCAGAGTTCGTACTATTCCCAACCGTCACCCCGCTCTGTCATTCAAAAAACTTTCATCCGTCCCATCTTTAAGTCCCACTATCACCAATAAGATGACGTGGTTATGAAATAAAATAAGTTCCAACCGTCTCCTAGTTGTAAAATGTGGGATGGATGAAGCTTTTTACTATCATCTGTCTCAAAGTTGGGACAAAGTGGGGTGTCGGTTGAGAATAATCCTCGAGTGCGACCTACCGTTACGCCGTCGCTACTTTCAAAGTCATTTAATAAGTGAAATGGATTTGTCAGATAAATAGGGTTTAGGAAAGGGATTTTTGTATACCCTTCCCTCTGGCCATTAAAGGAACAATACTCATCTGCTTTAGATACCGAAGTAATTTTCAGGTGTTCTCCAGCATTAATTACTTCGCCATTTAAGCGATACTAATCGACCCTTTGACCCCTTATAAGTTTTATATTGGAATGTGGATTTTATTCTCCTAAGTATAGGTTATCCTGTGAGAATAATCTTTGCTTTACTTTTTTTTAAATCAAACAACGAGCAGTCATAATAAACGTTATCTTATGACATTCGTTTGAAAGAAAACAATAGAAAATGTTTACCATTGTTCGTGAGAAACGTGATTTGTTGCTGAATACTGTTTTCTCAAATTCTAAATCTTAATACCTCTACCCTTCCGAGAAAACGTAGTAAGACAACATGATATGTCTTATATGACAAACTAGTCGAAGTGTTCAAACTCTGTTTAGATATCTATCTATACATATAATAAAATTGGAGTGTCTGTAAAATTCCAAATTTCGGAAAGATAATATCCGCGTTGCTGATAACGAAAATCGCATTTTTTTTGTCTGTCTGTCTGTCCGCAATCCGGGTCTGTTCCGAGTAATTAACGAACTGTCTGGGCAGATTTCGACCGGACTTTCACTGAAGGGTACATAGGTGATATAGACGGGCTTATTGGCAAATTAGTCAATATTGCGTGGATGAAGTCGCGGGCAACAGCTAGTTATTAATATGATTCTTTTACAGCCGATTTTGCATATTAGATGTTCAAACTTTAACTATGCAGTTTGTTCCAAGAATTCATTTTAACTAAAATGAAGTTTACAATTAAAATTGAAATAAGTAAAAGTGGAAATTTAACTGACGGTTCAAAGGAAAGATTTGTATGTATTGTGAAAACTCAAAAACTACTAGGCCGATTTTAAAAAATCTTTCATCATTAGAAAGTTAAGATATCAGTGAGTAACATAGGCCATTTTTATTTATTATAATTTAATTTCACGCGGACGAAGTCGCAAGCAACATCTAGTCTATACTACTATTATAAACAGGAAAGAATCGTATTTTTTATGTATTGAAATAACTCAAAAACTACTGGGCCAATTTTAAAAATTCTTTCACCATTAGAAAGGTAATTTATCTGCGAGTAACATAGGCCATATCTTACAATGTTTTTTTTTTTTTAATTTCACGAGGGTGAAGTCGCGAGCAACATGAAGTTAGAAATAAAGTGAATGCAATAAGACAGTGAGTAGTTCTTATTGGTACGATTTAAATGTCATTGTTTGAGGGGATTAACAAGTGAGCTGTTTGTTTGCGAGGTGATATCAGGTGTGGAAAAAGTGCATCTCCTGTCACTACGTCTGATAAAACTATATTTTCATTGTCTTGTTACACTGTTGCTAGTCTCTTATTATTTCTATGTATCTATTTTTTTAATAACAGTAGATTTTTGTTGATTTACTAATGTTTCCTTTAACCATTACAACTAAACTCTTAAACTTCAACAGTGGTAGTGCCCGTTTTAACATCTTAGCACGAATGGGCAGGCACGCCCGGTGTAATAACACGACTACACAGAAGACAGTTTGACGAGTGTGGTGCCGGAGGCCTAATTTAAGTCCTTTCTGTGTACCACCCTTTTCTTATAAGGAGAGGATGGAAATGGGAAGTGGATTTGGCGGAGTAGGAGATACGTAGGAAGGGGAAGTATCCTTTTATGTGCGTCTCCTTCTCTGTCGGATAAGGGTAGGCAACGCATCTGCAATAGCGAATGTCTATCGGCAGCGGTCGCTTCGCTATTTTGGTGGATTCAGGTGCCCGCTTGCTCGTTTGCCACCTTATGTTATAAAAAAAAACTCTAGTCTTGTGCTAGGATATGGTTCACATTAGTCGAACGGCAGAATTCGAACCCTAGACCCCAAGATCGGTAGTCCGTACCCCAAACTATTAGGTTATTGGTGCTTTCTATTATCTGTTAAAAGTTTCATTTGTAGGCTCGTTGTGTTTTGTTAACGTGATTTTTATTACGAAACATCTCTATATAACAATTGCTATATTTGCAAGATGAAGGAGATGACAATGTTTTTAGTTGTTTTGGTGTAAACGTTACGATAACTTCCTTGGGTTTATGTTAAATAGTGTTTAGTAGTTACCGATATCGCGGCAGCCAAAAACGCAAAACTAACATTAAACAAAACAACCTTTTTTTTCTGATTTACAGTACTAAATTCCAAAACTATCTCTACTACATTTTGCCCGTTATTTGCTTCTTTTTTTCCGTTTTTACTATATATATTTTTAATAACATGCTAAAGGTGGCCAGTATGCAATCTCTTTGGCTGTATTTATACTTCTAGTCAGCCAAAGAGGTTGTATTTCGAACAAATAATACGGTTTAATGTACTCATATATTTGTTTGTTTTCGTAACGGATCGTAAGACGTGTTTTGTATATTTATAATACATTTAGTATATTAAGTCGGCAATGACCTTACAGAAGACAATATGGAATATTAAACAAGATTGCGTTTTAAACCTTCGTTACGATTGGGTAACGTTTTTCCCTTCCGTGCCCTTCAAAGTACCTTACTAGTTTTATCTTCCTTGTTTTAGAGCGCGCGCACACCATTGACTTGACTATCGCCCAA